CCTAAATGTGTTCACTAGTTAACTAGTGCGCATTTCTGCTGTCACTAGTTAACTAGTGGGCACATTTTCACCCTCGATATTTAACTAGTTGACACAAACATGTCTAACTAGTTAACTAGTGGACAGAAATGGCTTACATGTTCATGACAATTCTGGCTGATATCCTGATATCAGAATAAATGCTCATTTGGCTTGCCATACATCCCAGAAGCGACACGCGGCAAAAATAGAACCTGACCCAAACTTTAGTGGCGCGCCGCTTCTGGGACGCACCTGGAAATTGCCACATTGCTGCTGGTTTGAAACGTCCCATAGACTATAATGGATTCTATTCGAAGCAGTGACGCTTTGCTGCCATTCCGCGCCACTGATGCTTTTAGTGTGAAACCGGGGTTAGAAGGAAGGTTACATTTTGTGATTGTTTCACTGTATAATTCTCACTTATTACTCCTTTAAGTTCACCTAAACTTTATCAAAAGTTTTTTTTTGGGGGGGGGACAGAGCAAATACCCTGTATAGATCATGCATAATACTGCAAGCTTGATGTTTACATTTCAAAATTTGCAAAGAACTCACCACCATCCCATAGCCAAAGGGCAATGTGGCGAGCTTACACAGGTTTTTGTTGCACTTAAAAACAAAAACAGTAACTGTCTGGGGCCCCAGGCCAGCTCAAGGCCCGAGGAAATCGCCTCGTTTCACTCTTATTGCGATGATCCTACTTACAAAGTTAATCAAAAGTATGAAAAAAATAAAATAAATAACCCTCAACCAAGAAGTTTGTTGACATTTTTCACCAAACCGCAACTGATCAACAATGACAAGAAAATTTGATTCAATTCGCCACAGAACTGCTCACATCAACAAAAGCCCTCTTTGTGGCCACCTGGTTTTAAACAGCAGTTTGCTCAAAGAATGTCAGAAGAGCACAATGGCATTTTAAAATTATTCACATGATAGCAGCGTTCTGTCCCTGCCAGGATAAACTTTTGCTGTAAGTCCTGGAGAGGAGCAACCCGCCGCAGCAGCTCTTTATATTGGCAGGCCGACAGGAAGCTTAAAATCTGTATAAGAAGCAAAAATTCATAAAGGACAAGCAAGAAATGTGCATATGTCTGTTCTGAGGGCCAAGGCCCGGTCAGCGGAGGGGAAAGTTCACCCATACTTGAGGAAAAGTCAAAGTGGAAAACTCCATCCTAATAATCAAAGTCTCACCCTGGCTCAGGTTTGATGTCTGGACCTTTTACAGAAAACACCATGACTCCTGCTCCCAGAGTAGTCTTCCAGCTCCAGCTTTAACAAATGTCCAACAATGATGTCAGTAACGGAGTGCAACACCCACCACATTCACATTAGATCAAGTGCAACAACAGAATCTAAATCAGCATCAGGAAGGCAGCTGTAGCAGCTGGAGACTCATCCAAGAAGAATTTAAAGGAATTGCTAAAAAAAAAAAAAGGTTGATTTTGATGCGACTTGCTCTTTAACCAAATCCCAGTCACTAATGCTTGTGCAAATGACTGAAATTTGTTTTAACGTTTTTTCAAGTTATAAAGCTGCATAATTACTGACCCTTTGCACGTGATGTCACGCTGCTCAAGGGACCGCCCCCTTAGTCATTGTGGACGGTAGAAAGATTGAAGCTAGTCAGAACAAGCCAGTTTGTCGCCTTTTATTTCGCAGTAAAGTTATAATAGTTTGCTGGGTAGAGTGTAATGGTATAAACTCTACTTGTCTTTTGTTTAATGAGTTTGATGGAATGAACCACAGCGATCAAAGAAATAGCCTTCAAAGTATTTTTGGTTTTGCAGCAAACGTGATTTACTGGGTAACGTTCATACATCTCATGAGGAAGACAGGGACTGACTGATTTAACCCTCTGGGAACCAGGGTGTAATTTGCTGTTTTTGACAAATATAGATTTTTCCTTTGTGTTAAAAAAAACTACTGCTTTATTTGGTGTCAGTCTTTTCAGCACAACCTGGACTGTATGAATTTATACTTATTTTTTATATTTGGACATAAAGGATAACATTATTGGTCCTTAAGTCACTCAAAAACATAAAATTTGAGTTAGAAAAAAGTTAATTTTGTTACTGTGAAACCAACAAACATTTATGATGAATGTTTTTTATAATTTAGAATGGCAATCTAGACAGTAAATGTATTAAAAATATGAATAAATATAGCAAATAACATTCAAAAAATGTTATTAGCAGGAAAATGAAAAAAAAAGTACATTTATTTACACAGGTCAAAAAGATGCCAGAAAATATTTAATTGTGCCAAAATAAGTTACAATTATGCTAATTCCTTATAAACATTTGAACAAATATTTATTATTTACATGAGATTTAGATTTTTTTGTATTCCAAGATAACTCAGTTTATTTGTGCCACTCCAAGAAGCAGTTTCTGTCCACTAAGCAGAGGTGCATCAGGCCTGGCTTCTCCGCGTAAGAAAAAACAACAGAAAACATTATTTGGACTAAGGGAGGAATAGCTGGACTGTTTTTCTCTATGGCTAGAACCTGCTTGCTCCTGACAAACCTTTAGTCCCTCTCCTGTCTTCTAAGCATCACAGAGGGGGCGGGGCTTTGCCTCACTCCCGGAGACAGAGAAATTATACTGGTGTGGTACGAGAGCAACTTCTTCTGTGCCTGCCAGGACCTCATTCTTCTTGTTATGACCCAGCATCTCTTTTTAGTGTCTAAAGCCCTTTTCAGATTAACATTCCGGAATATGTGTGGACAATTCAGTCCGGTTTTAAACCAGAACTGTGTTTTCAGACACACCACTTTTGTACCGGAACTTGTCCTTTCGGCTGCCTTCACACAGCAGGGAAAAGTTCCAGATGTCTGGGGGTGGGGTGGGGTGGGGGGAGATCGGACTCATGTTAAGCATAATTCTGCGCACACGAAGATGCATAAGACCTGGATGATGGCGCTCAATGGTTAAAGGAATCATGGAAGCGGTGTGATGCGCTCCGTCGCGCGTCTAGACGGTACCGTAGGAGGTGAGCTGCCATGGTTCGCCGCATGCTACAGGAGCGAGCTATCTAGGAGCGCACAGCGTCCCCCGGTCCCCTCCCCCTCCTCCCTGTCCGGAACTCGACCTCACCAGTCTGAAGCAGCCACCTTGTCCGTAACGAGTCCAGACCTGTTACTAGGGGCATCGTTCGGTTTAATTACGGAAAACGTTATCCGGATGTTTGTATTCAGACACAAAGGTCTTACGGACAGAGTTCTGAACATTTCCATTTTTCATGGCCTGTCTGAAGGGGGCTTAAGAGGAAGGATTGATCCACCACATTATTATCAAAACCCTCAATGTGGCGTTAAGACTTCAAGCTGCGAGTCTCACTCTCCTGTCTTCCAGCTAAAAAACAGCTGAGCTGCTGGGCATTCATACATAAAAACACACTCAACTACATGTGAATAATACTCTATTCATCACAGATCGCTCCAATATCTAGAGATTTCCATCAATGTCCGTCTACAGTTTACCGCGCTCCGTGACAGCTCATAATCATGGTTTTCACAAATTCTCTGATAGTCTAAAAAAGGTTGTTTTAGTTTAGTATAACTCCGCTTTTACCAGGCCTATTAACAAAATGTAAAAACTGTGGTGTAGGTTATAATCTCTGTTATAAACCTGAATTGAAACTGAAAGAAAATGAATCTCAGGAAAGTGGAGTCTTGCTGCTACGGCATCCCAAATCATATCTGTTCAAAAAATGCGGATCTGTGTCCATCAACCCCAGGGGGTTAACCAATGAAAGCCAGAAATTGATTTTAATTTTCTCATTTTAACCATACTTTAAATCTTATTTTTTTTAAAATCTTTTTTATATTTAAAATTTTTTCTTGAGAGGTGGTGAGCTGCAGCAGTGACTGCGCTCGGGAACTATTTGGTGGTTTAACCCTTCAATCCAACCCATTAAAGCTGAGTGTCAAGCAGGAAGGCGTTGGGTCCCATTTTTTAAGTCTCTGGTCTGACCCGACCGGATTTGAACCCTGACCTCCCAGTCCCAGGGCAGACACTCCGATGCACCTGCTTCAGGAACTAGAATTAAGCAAAGTCAGAGCTGAGCAAAACACGACAGGATTTGGAGTCTTATTTCCTGATATTTGGACATCTCACTTCTGATTGGATAACAGCAACACAACTCCACCACTGACTCTTTTTACTTTGCATGTTGATGTTTGATCTCCACAAATAACTTAAGCCTGAAGGAGTTTTGCTGTGTGGTGGAGTTGCTAATGCTACTGGGCAACTTCCACTAGTCGAGACGTCCTCTGCCGTTTCCTGGACGCTAAACTAACAACAGCCTTCCCCGGCGGGAGTCAAAACGGTGAGCTTTTCAAATCCTAGAGTTTCACCGTCTATTTTCTATTGGAAGCTAATGCAGGAGATGGATGCAGAAGACCATTTTCACATTCAGCCTGCATGTTAAACTCAGAGCGACCAAATTTGAATATCTTTGTGTTGAAGCGGTCCCGATTAAAGCTTGTACTCTCTTTCCCCAGTCTTAACTCCGTTACTACCAGCCATTTTCTGATCAGAAAGCGCCTGACTGCCAGCGTTTTTGATAATTTTTACTGTTTTTTGAAGTGTCATGACCATGAAAACATCAAAACTACAAAAAGAAACAGTAGACTCACTTTTTACATCAGGAAAAATCGGCGTGTTTCTAGCTTTTTCCATTCTTTCAAAATCATTTTTTTCCGGTTTGCGCCTCGCTTTTTTCATAGCGGCGTCAAAAAATGATCTAATACATAGATTGTCTGCTTCCTGATCATGGCACACACACGGGTGAAGATCAGCTTTAGAGCTGTGCTGTTTACTTTCAAGGTGCGTGGGCTCGTTCCCAAACCAAAAATGTAATTGACGACTAAAGTAGTCAATGGCAACGGGAAGTTGGATTTAGAATGATGACTTTAGTCATCAATGGCAGTGAATGAGTTAAAGGGCTACTTCAAGTGACTAAATTATTTGTACCTGAAATGGCAAGCAGCATTTTCCTACGGGCACCGAAAGTGGTGATTCCTAGTTCCTTCAGGTCCTGGTCTGTTAGAGTCAGAAATGTCTGGAGGTCGATCTGAAAGCAGCAACATTTATATTTATTATCTCTGTAAACACAAGTCTAGAGGGCTGCAGAAACAAACCTTGCATGAGCGCAGAAGAGAACTAACACTGTAACCATGTTCAGCCCAACAGACTTAAAGTTGAAAGAAAATTTCATCCAAAGGGGAGCCGTGCTACCTCTTGTTGCTGGAAGACGTCCGTGTACTTCCCCAAACCCAGCTTGCTGAAGAGCTCGGGCAGATCAGAACCTTTCAAGGATGAATTCAGGTTGCAGCCATTGCTGCCCGTTACTGAGGAAATTGAGTCCATGTAGTTGCTGCTGCTGAGGTAATGTTCTGCAGCTGAATTACAAAATAAAATAAAAAAAAGAAACCCCAGAAATAATTACAATTTAGTTGCTTAATGATGATATTTGCACTCAAGATGCCAAAAATCTACTGACCAGATTTGTTCTGCTTCCTCTTCGGACTGCTGACAGCCGAGGGGAACTCCGTGTGGTTCGTCAGGCCGTTTCCGGTGCCGTTTCTCTCCCTCCAGTTGTCCGAGTCGCTGCCACTCCCAATGCCTTCCCGACTGCCGGATCGAGACAAGGAAAGCGGGGAACCCTGAGACGAATTATAAACAAGAGAGAACCAAAATGAGTCATTCTGAATGAAAAGGTGCTGAAATCAAATCAACTGCTAAATCAATGTGCTTTCTGCTCACAGTGAAAGTCAAAGACAGGATAAAGGAACAAATAATAACGAGAAAATATAATTTAAGTAATTTTTATGCCTGACCTCGTATGTGGTAGTCATGCTGGGTTTATAGGAGACGTGATTGGCTCTTCGCAGCTCCTTGATTGTCTCAGCTGGCATGGACTTTGAGAAGCCCAGACCGCTCCAGGTGTTGGTGGGTGTCCTCACCTCTGTCACCACGGGTTTCTTTAACATCGCTGCCGAGCAAGGAACACACAGATCATACCAAACAATAATAATAAAAAATACCTTTTTTGAAGAGGAGAAAAAAAATTCTCTAGAATTTGTGATATTAGATGATGAACGCTAACCAACCTTTGGTTGCCAACAGCTTTTTCTGTTCGTAGTCAAAGGCCTGAAAATGCAGAAAAAAGCTTGAGTCCTTTTAAGCATGTTTTTGGTGTGTATGTGTGTGAGTGAGTGGGTTTACCTGCATGTTAGCAAAAGTCGTCTGTGGAGCCAGCCTGATTCTCTCCCTCTCGTTTTGCTGTGCAGCCCTTTCGGCTGCCCGCTCGCTACCCGGCGCCCTCTTATCTGCAACGGGGCTGTCTGACGAGCTGGACTCGGCGTCTGACAGCAGACAGTCAGAACTGTTGGAAGTGCCAAGGAAGGGAAATCAGTCACCCACACTGATAACGTTATTCCCAAATGTTCTGACTGTACAGCCCTAAACATCCATCAGTGTAAACTTTTCTGGCCCAGAACAAAATAGTCTGTTTATCATCCACCAAACATCGTTTAGTCCAAACTAAAAATGACCAGAAAGATGCTAAACGTGAACATAAGGAGCTGGGAGTGATCTGTAGATAGAAACATACTGTAGATGGGAGTTTTTGGTGCCCTGCAGGAGCTCCACAGCCTGTCGCTTTCCCGATGAAGTCTTACATGAAGCCAGCATCTGTTTCAGCTCACTGCCACTGGCTGAATGTGAAGGGCTTCTTGGCATGCCCACTTCCACAAACGTATCAGAGCCTGAAGGAAACAAACACTTTGGTTTTTGCACTGCATTTTATGTTTAAAAAAGAAAAATCTGACAAATGTTTAAAATTTGATCATGTTTTAAGTATTTATAAAAAAATTCCTGTTTGAGCCACACAGTTTTGCTGTAGGGGTCACAGCAGGGCCACTCAGTGTAAATGAGCTGGTGAGGCTGGATTGGATCTACACAAAATAAAATGTGACAAGTCTCATTTTGAATAAAAGCAGCACCAGTGATTACGGTGGATGTCACCTGCTTTTTTACCTGCAGATGAGTGAATGCATGCACAAGAATAAATGAACGTGCATGAAATAATATGATGTCAGCCCTCTGTGGTTTTTGTGTTTGAACAAATCCTCTAAGGTCATACAATCCGCAGTGCAGAGGTGAGAGTCGGACAAGAAAAGCCAGTCCAAACACATTCTGGGGCACAGGAGGAGGTGAGACCGAGGGGGGGGGACGGACTACCAGGACACACTAGGCTGAGGGGGGGGGGAGAGAGAGAGAGAGAGAGAGAGAGAGAGAGAGAGAGAGAGAGAGAGAGAGAGAGAGAGAGAGATTAGAAAACAGCAGGGAAAATGGAGACGCGTGAGAGTGAATGTTTGAGGGAAAAACCGCGAGTGTAAGACACAGAGGAAATGAAGGCCTTTCTGAACCACTAGGAGCCCAGCAGTTAATCTGTCTCCGTTCCAATAAGCACAGTCGGAGGGAGCGTGAGGTTAGGTGGACGGTGCGGGGAAGCAGAGAGAAGTTAATTCTACGCATTTTTCCTCCGTGTGGTTTTCAGAACAACATAAATCTCAAGTGGAAAAGCGTGATTTGGACATTTATGTGTGGTCTGGAAGGCTGAGTTCGAGCAAACCGGAGCTGAAAATGTTAACAACTTTAAATTTGAGTCCATTCAAGGTTATAAAAGCCCATAAATCAGAAGCCTGTGTTAAACTTGAAAACAAAGAAGAGGGACCACCGGACAGAGCAGATATTATGAATGGGAGGCTAATACTTTCAATTAACTTTATTAACCATTAATAGAAATAAAGCAAAAAAAAATTCTTGAAGTTGAATAGTAGCCCTCTTTTGAGACAAAGGTGGAGCCTAATGTTACATATCTTTACAAAACGTAAACAGAATATAAATAATTTAAGTTTTTAATTTATACAAGCAGACTTCAATATTGGATTTTTAATAAAACTACATTCTAAAGTACACAAAGTATTTGTAGTAGAATGGTTGCAGTTCTTGATACTTTCCAACTTTTTAGAAGTAATAATGCACATTTTATTACAGTAGATTTAGGGTCAGTAGAGCAACCATCAATGTTAAACAAGAATGTACATCATATTAAATCCATGAATTTACTGTCTTTCCTTCTATGAACCTGGAGAATTTAAACGTTTGTGTTATTTACACATAGCTTCATACATTTATATGGAAATAGAATTTTATTTTTTGTTAATTATCTACATCTCATTTTTGACTATTTCTAAGGTAATATCCAAAAATGTCTACAAAGTTAAACACTGGGTCTATCTTATACCGCTAATGTATGGACTAATAATTAAAGTAAGAAGCCCCATCAGCTCCAGTGAGTGACTTTAAAAGTGATAGAAGTGTGATTTACTGTTCCTGTTCTATGAGGTAGGTAAGCTTTCAAAATGTTATTCCCTTAAGACCCTCCCCCGGCCTCTACAACAAAACTAATCATATATGCGAGCAGAGAGCAATGACCAATAGTGCTGCGTACCCACAAGGAGGCGTTATCAATCAGCTAGAATGGACCTCAGTTCCCAGCATGCAACCTAGCTTAAATGCTATCTCTACCTGCTTTGAACTCATGTCATTCAGTAAACTTAAAGCTTACTGTGGAAGAGGAGGGAGGGAAATGAAAGGCCATTGATCTTTTGTTGGAGCTAGGGCTGGGCAATAAATCGGAAATTTATCGTTATCAAAATTTGTGACTCTTATCAAGATAATTTTTCCCATGTCAATAGATTTGATAATAAAAAAAATGAAAAGATGTGTGTAGGTTGGCAACATTCATGTCCCTTTAAGAAGCTGTGCCGCCTTGAGTCACGTAAAAATGTGACTCAACGTAATACGTGTGACAGCCCCATCTAGTGGACAGCTTTTGTTTCTGCGCATACCTGTAGTTATAGTCTATTTATCGTTATCCAGGTGAAATCCTCAATATATCGTGGTTGATTTTAGGCCCAGCCCTAGTTGGAGCTGAGTGACTAGTGTATCATTAAACCTTACGCTACATCTGACAATTTTTTAGCCTGTTGTGTTAGCAGTGGTGGGCTACGAGTGGCAGATTTCTGTCAGTTTTACCCTTTCTATCCATTGGACTAGAGCCCTGCACGGGCCCAAAATCTGAGCCCGTGTCCGGCCCGGCCCGAGGGGGTGGAGCCCCAGCCCGACCCGGTCCGAAAAGGATTTCAGGATTCTCTGGCCCGACCCGAGCCAGACTTTTTTTAAACCAACTAAATGAAAACAAAGTGTGTCAATCCTGACCAATGTGTTAAAAGACGTGCAGGATCCGATCAATTTGTTTTCCCCTCATTTACCGTCACGGAGATGACGGAGCAGGCTCTGGTGGTAATCAAGTTAAATTTGATCTCTTTCCAACAATTTTCACAAGAAAATAAAACCGTAAAAAGCAGGGTTTGTGTTGATCGGATAGTTCCTGTATTTGACCGTTTATTTTGATGGAGAAAGAATAGAAAGAATTACCCCGACACATGCAGACGAACGGACATTTTATTCCACGCACATCGCAGATGTAGCTAAATCACCCAAGAAAAGATTCCCATCTGAACATCTGAGCTGGACACTGCTCAGCGCAGCTCGCTGTCAGTGCATATGTGCACAGCGAGCTGAAGTTGTGGAGATTGGCTTGGAGCGCATCGCAGAACCAGAGCGCATGCGGGACGGTTCCTCCCACTGAAGCGAGTGTTTTCCAAACCCTGTCGCTCAGAGAGACTTGTCACTTAGAAAATGTTCCCTGATTATGAAACTTTGGCTGAATAGTGCTTGTTCCTGTCTCCAATGTGGCAACACATCCAGGAGCTGATGAGAATCCCAGAATCTCACATCCTCGTCAGCTCAGACAGCGCCTATGATTACGCACAAGCGTGGCCCATCAACCCGGTCTCACAGTAAGACTGGGTTGGGCCTGTTCAGGTTTACGCAGACAATCTTTAAATATAATTGACTTACAGATATAAAATTAATTCAGTAAAATATAAAGTATTTTATTTAAATATCCATTCATTATTTTACAAGCACAGAGAGCCGCATCAGATTCAGAATTCAGTCGGAGGAATCTTCCCGCATGCGCTCTGGTTCTGCGACGCGCTCCAAGCCCCTCTCCACATCTTCAGCTTGCTGTGGACCTTATGTAGTACACGCTGACAGCGAGCTGCGCTGAGCAGTGTCCAGCTCAGATGTTCAGATGGGAATCTTTTCTTGGGTGATTTAGCTACATCTGCGATGTGCGTAGAATAAAATGTCAGTTCATCTGCATGCGTCGGGGTAATTCTTTCTATTCTTTCTCCGTCAAAATAAACGGTCAAATACGGGAACTATCCGGTAAACACAAGCCCTGCTTTTAACTGTTTTGTTTTCTTGTGAAAATAGATAAAATTAAACTTGATTAACACCAGAGCCAGGCGCACCGCGCCGTTATCTCCGTCACTGTAAACGAGGGAAAAACAAATTGATCGGATCCTTTTCTGACCTTCCCCACCTACAAAGTTTAATTACAACAATCAAACGTGACAGAGCCTGGATTTGTATTCTAAACAGTCTAAACATGTTTTAAAAAGAAAGGTATGACAAAAGTGGCACCTGCTCAGTAAAACCACCAACAGGGTAAAAAATATCTAAATATTGTAGGCAGAGACGGGCTACAACTTCTGGATCCATTTTATATAAATCATTTTATTGATTATCTTTTTATGAAAGATAACTTTGACGTATACGAGCGACCGGTACCGGCTGCTGTTACCTGTTGTGAGCAGCTCTCTGCTGTCTGAGGGTAGGCCCCGCCCACAACGCCGCGGCTGCTGTGGCTCCCAGTGTTTTCTTTACTGTGGGAAATGGGTAATAATGGCTCTTTGATGGGAACAGGTTGCCGACCCCTGGTTTAAGTGTTTCAATTTTTTTTAATGAATTCGATTAAAAATAAAGGCGCCCGGCCCGGCCCGTGTCCGCGGTAATTACACAGTCGTTGGCCCGAAGCCCGGCCCGACGGCCTAGGGCTTCAGTGCAGGGCTCTACAATGGACATCAAAGCATTGCAAAATGGCCACGAAACATATGAATATTAGCCGCCAGTATAGCGAACGAGTTTCCGGCAGCCAAGAATAATGCTTTGGACACATCCCAGAAGCAAAGGGACATCGTTACGTTCTGAGTCTTGTAAAAAAAAAAATTGTATGCACTACGCTTCTAAAGCACATCAAGCTCCACAGTTTAGATCGGGCCAGACAGGAAGTCTCACACACACGAAAGCAGTGTAAAACATTCTGAAACTTTCAAAATAAAAGTCATGGGCAGATAAACCTAGCCTGGCCTGCCAGACTCGTCCTCTGTTTAATTCTGCACAGAGAAAGAGTCTGGTTACTCACAGGCAGAGACGCATATGAGGGGCGGGACTAGCCAGCTCAAAAATAATGAATCAGAAAAAAGACGAAAATGTCAACTGTACTACGCAGCGCTGTAGTTTTTTAGCTGTAGTCAAAAATGGCATCTGGCGACAGCGCAAACATGTTTTTTTTTAGAAGAAATGTTTTTAGCGCTTCTACTTGTAGTTTTAAAGGCATTCAAGTAATTTAGAACAGAGGAAAGAGCCACAGTGAACTCTGCTTCAGTCACTATGTTTATGACAAACTCGGGAGTTGTGGTGTGTGACGTACGCTACTCAGCGCTGATTGGCTCGGTTGGAATTCTCAGGGGGTGGGGTTATTTAAATAGGAGAGTTCCCAGACCCTTTCTCTGTGCAGAATTAGAGTTGTCTGGAAGGCCAGGCTAGGATAAACCTCCGAAGTTGAGGTAAACAGAACAGATAAAAAGCCACACCTTTTTGGATACATGCAGCCATCTTTATCCTTGCTTCCAAAGCCACGCATGGTGTGATTGTGTGTGTGTGTGTGTGTGTGTGCTCGTCAGAATCGCTCCCGGTTGGAAGGGAACTCATGGGTAAAACGCCTCTATTTTGTTACATGCTGCTTTTGTGTCCAGTGGAAAGAAGGGGTTAGACGTTTCCCTGCCTGAACCATGCAGATTTGATAAAAACGAGTGATTAGCAGTTCCTGCAGAACGCGATGAAGAGTGAGGAGATATTTCAACGATTAGAATCCGGTGCATCTCAGCAGGAAAACCGTATCGACCCGACTATGAGACAACGTATTTTTTCATTGAAAATATTTTAAAATGTGGGGTCGTCTTATAATTGGCGTCTAACAATTACACACTTGTAACAGCAGAGGGCGCCAGGATGTATGTTCTCAACAGGAGAAAAAAATGGAGAGGAGAGGTCCAGAGCAGAGTGGACTGAAAGTGGAGCAATTTAACAAGCTATAAGGCAGAGTCATGGGAATGTTAAGATGACGGTGGTCAATTCAGCAGAGGCATCCAACATTGCATGCATACATGTATTGGATAACAGTGAGGATGACGTTCTGGGAGGAGTTAGTAGGTGTGGTAATCTGATGGTACACTGGGACCGCAGTAGCATGAGTGAGAATGAGAGTGAGTGAGTACAGCAAAAAAGAGGGCGTCTGAATAAAAGCCTCATTTGACTTTTGATTTCACATGTCAGCAAAGTTCTGAGTTTTGCATGAAAATAGTATTTTTGCTCAGTATTTGTTGTCAAATTTTCTATAAAAATAGTTTATTTAAAAAGTGATTTTTATTTGGTGTTTGCTCATCTTATAATCGGGGTCGCTCTATCAATACGGTATATCAAAAGCATTGTCTGTTAGCGCTAGCACGGTATGAAGTGTGGCTTTCAGTTCCTTCTAGAAGGGGAGTGGTGGGCATGGACAGGAGCTAAAGCCATTTAAACTTCAAAATCTCCTCTCGTTGATGACATCACGCTACAGACCCTGCTTTAAAAGACAAAGCACTAACTGAGGACCGACCATCTCCACATAACCTCACCAACCACATATTTTGCTAACAGACACACAGGTGAAGATTGTTATATTTCTCTTGAGGTGTACCTTCATCTGGGTTGGACTTACTGGACAGCAGTTCTGATGGACTACGTCCGCTGGCTTCTTGAGCGGAGTCACATGGAGCAGGACTCAGAACGGTTTCTGCAAGTGCTGCTGTTGCTAACCTCGCATAGCCAGGATGCTGTGTGTTCACAGAGCAACATTCACGTCATTTACTGATTAAGAATAAACAGGAAAGCAGCACAACAGAACCCAACCTTGACGTGTCCGTTCCGAGTGCAGTCAGGGACTCCGTTTGGCTGCTTCTCAATGGGGGCGAGGCCTGGCGGAGGAGATGGCGTGCTGTGAGTGTAACCCTGAACGCTCGACAGCAGGATGCTGCTCAGAGTGGCCTGAGTGGCAGGATGCAGCATCAGCTGAGATGAGAAGTCTGCAACAAAAATAGAGGAATAATGATTTTGCTGAATCTGACCGATGTTTCTGAAAGTAGAGTTGTCTTTCTATGCATCACTACAAACTTTGAGTGCTGGTGAGTGAACTGGGCCACAGAGACGGGGGCGGCGTCGGGGTGCTGGGGCTCGGCGTCTGCAGAGGGCTCAGAGTTGAGTTCAACCTGTTCAGAATCGCGTTCGGGGCGACAGAGTTGGAGAGCGAGTGGGGCGCTGATGCACCTAAGAAACCTGCATATAGGAGTGAGAGTTGAAGAAAGAAACAAGAAGAGATCAGTGGTGGTCCCGTCAGGGCACAAAGCTATTTTTTTTTAACTAATCACCCGTTGCACCAAGGCCCTCAAAAACCAAAAATCTCGGTTTTCCAGCTATTTCACTGGAATTCCATGACACTGCCATCAACCAGACGGCAAATGTGGGGAGGAACTTCATCCATGTCTACAAGGTCATGGATACACAAGTATATACAGCGTGTATCCTCATACCCAATGAAACCATGTCATTGAGAGCGCCGACGATATGATGCTTGGCGTGTTAACCCAAACAGAGTGTATGAAAACAGATAGAAACAAGTCTGTGGCTTTAACAAGGGGCTAGTTTGGCTCCAGGAATAAGGCCCGAGAATCTTCTGGCAGACTGATCTGTAATCTGAGGAAAAGAGGCATGTAGCAATTACTAAAGGCCAGGATGTGGCCGTCCACAGCTTCACCCGCGGGTCCCTGGGCTTCAGCGAAACAACGAGAAAATGCTTCTGTTGTAATGAGCTGATCTGAAACCAATTTACACATTTAATGGGGGAAAAAGAGCAAAAATTATTTAAATGTCAACATTTATCATACTTGAAATTTTCCAAATCCCAAATTCCTCTTGGAGACAAAAATCTGCTCCAACATGAACTCGGTGAGGTCAGCGCTTCAGAGAAAAGTCCTCGTTCTCCTCAGAACCATCCAGAATTTAAAGATCCATCTAAAGCAGAGCAGCCACGTCTGTGTTGATGTTATTTTCTGATGGCTGACTGATCAAAGATGCCTGAGAGTGTCTTGGCGTTACTTTCTTATCATCACATTGAAATCAGATTTGCAGAAATCTGCTGCTGTAAACAAACATGCCAAGATACAACTCGCAGTCTGCAATTTGTGTTGATTTAGAGGATAATGAGGATTGATTTGGTGATTCCAGGCTTTTGGGACATTTGTGATAACATGAGTGTCTAGTGTGCAGACATATGTTACTAGTGGGAATGATTCATTAGGGATGCCTTTATCAGATATACCAACATAGCTTAACTCTTAATTTCAGATACAGATATAAACAAATTCCGATATATGATAAGTAAAAGTTGGGTCATAAGGAGTAAAAACCGATGCAGATATTCTCTGTTATTACATTTTAACCAATAACGGCCAATATTAATGGCAGACCAATAATATCGGACATCCCTATGTTTTATCTTTTTGCCCTCGTTTATATTTTCCCTGGAAAACCCACAGAAGCAGCTTAAAAAGATGGAATTATTACCCAGATTACTCAGCCCCAGTCCAGCTGAGGCCAGGATGTCCAGGCCAACAGGGCAAAGAAGGGAAGGGGATTGACCATTGGCGGGGGGATTCATGGCCACGGAGGGTGAGGAAGAGGACACTCCGTTGCTCTCAAGGCCCAGGAGGAATTTTCGAGCTTCGTACATGTTGACGGCATTCCTCTCCACGCTCTTCACTATCACCGACTGGGAGAGAAAAAACAAAACCGGTGATCGGAAACCAAGAAAACAGAAAAGTCGAGATAACAGCAACACGGTGAGGAGGAAAACGAGGCGGGGAGGGGCAAAGATGAACGCTGGGATGCAGCATGAGAAAATCATGGCAGAGGAGGGGATAGCAAAGGGAATGTTGGCACTGGAGATAGGGAGTGAAAGGGAGACTGTAGGGGAAGACAAAAAAAGAAATGGGAGGAAGGAAGAGGGAATTAGGAGCAGATTAGAAGGATAAACAAACAAGCAAAGTAGGAGTCGCAGGGAGACATGGGAGCTAAAGATTTCTGCTAGGAGTTGGAAAGTTATTAGAAAAATATACATGTTTTTATTTTAACACAAAGAGGTGAAAAGACCAGTCAAGCTACAGCCGCTCCATTTTCCACATCCACTGAAAGCCACACCCTTCAAGAATGTCGAATCAAAGATTGTGAACACAAATCCTTTCCTGTCTTTGACCAGTTGGAGCTTTTGAAAAACAGTTGTCAGGCACCATTTTTCTCTCTAACACAATCCCGCACTTCCATTCGTTTGTAGGCCTGCCAAAGTATCGGGAGCACCGAGGCTACAGCACACACTTGGACGGGCCTTTTGGGGGAACGCAGTCACCTCATTAAAATATTTAAGTGAAGGGTTCTCAAGTGGATCTGGGCTGGGCCAGTATTTACCCTGGCACCTCTGCAGGCCTGTCTGGTTTGGGCATGGAGCCCTGGCTACGAGTCGGATGTGGGCACCTCAAAGAGACGGGGCTGCAGTCGGCTAAGTGCTGAAATACCATCAGAAATATTAACAGTTGTTGAGAGGCAGACAGTGAGTAACTCAGATTTATTTTGAAGGTAAAGCGGGCTCTAGTTGTTTTAAAAGACTGTGCATAACTATGAAATATAAAAGAATAATGAGAATAATTGCAGAAATAACCACGTTCCTTTTTTGGTTGTAAAAGTTAATGCAAAATAGGTCATTTAAAAACGTTCAGGGGATACTATGCTGCTGATGATGTCCACTTCCCAGTGCTGGTACTGGGTTCCAGTCTATCCTCTCTTCAGCTCCATTAAACAGCGATTAAATGTGACACCATGATATTTATGTTATTATGAAGCCATTTGGCACCATTGATGGAAAGTTATCTGGAAATGCAACAGTGACTTATTTGTTTCACTCAGTCTGCCCGACTTTAGATTTGAATTTAAGACGGCAGCTGAGTTTTCCCCAAGGAAGAAGAAACGTTTGCTCATGTTCTCTAAAAATTAAGGTTTAGCTACACTGAAATCAAAATATGTACCATCTACCTCGTCTATGAGTTATTCTGATTATACATTTAAAAACAAGTATTTATATATTGTTACTGTCAGTAATTAACTTTTAAGCTTGCGGCATGACCTTGTTTTTGGTTTATTTCATGTTACAGTTTTAATTCAGAAATATTACCAGTAGAGATGCTTGATATTGGCTTCTATACGATATCCGATTTATCAAAATTGCCAACTCTTACATTCTGATGATGTCATATGCTGTGTCCACTCATATAAAAAGAAAAACAAAACCATTTTAGGTGACTAACATCACATATCTCCTTTCACACATGTTTAAAAAAAAATTCTGTGCAAAATGAAAGTTGCGTCAGTTTATGTTAGTAATGGGAAAAGTGCCATATATATATTTAGCAGCTGAATCTCATCCTCCCTACGCAAGATGCTAACACATGTTTATTAGTTAGTAACATATTTTTTTCTTTTTCTATATATTGCAGATATGGTGATACAACAATTATAAATATCTTCAAATGAGAAAATAAAGCATTGGGTGAAGATTATTGTTTTAGTCATTTGTTAGATAGCTAGCTACATGTTGCTACGTGCTGTGAGGACAGTGTACTGTCACTACACAAGGAAAATTTGTACTCAAAAACTTTACCTAAGATCTTTCATATTTTAACATTTTGAGAGAGAAGTAGCTGAAAATGTTGATGTATACTATGTGTATAAAATTTGTGTCAATAACAGACTGAAAACCGATAACGATATTTTCCGATGAAAAAATGTTAATGCTGATACTGGTCCATATTAATGGAAGACTGATAATATCGAACATACCCAGTCATGCTAAATCTACATGTAAAGGTAAAAAAAGGGGAGGGGGTATTCTTGATCCATGCTCTGCTGACACAATCAAGGCAAGTGCTGAATAACGACGAGCGCTACTTCAGCCAAAGTTTTAAATCAGGAAACATTTCTCCAAATGAAATAACCAGAAGTCTTCCAGACTCTAAAAGAAAGAAGGGTATCCACTTTCCACTCAACGACACGCTGTAGTGCACAAAGTCGAGTGCGTCTCAGGCGCTCTCCAAACCCTTCCTCAGCGTGCCGCTTGCGCTTGCACTGTCAGCAGCCAGAGGTGGAGGTGAGAAAAGGGTCTTTTCTGGAATACTGCTGGGAGTTTTTCTGTGCGTAAAGTGTAAAATATACAGACATACATACATACATGTATGTACATACACGTATATGCATACACACACACACACACGTGTGTATATATATATATATATATATATATATATATATATATATATATAAATATATATAAGCATATACGTATATATATACGTATGTATGCATATACATATATATATATATATATATATATATATACATACATACATATATATATATATACATATATATATATATATATATATATATATATATATATACACATATATACATACATATATACATATGCATATACATATATATATATATATATATGCATATACACATATATACATACATATATACATATGCATATACATATATATATATATATATATATATGCATATACATATATATATATATATATATATATATATATATATATATTTATATACACGTAAAAGCATATACGTATATATACATACATATATATACATATATATACATACAAGCATATATATATGTTTATGTTTATGTGCTTAGCAGACGCTTTTACCCAAAGCGACTTACAATTTATTTATTTATTTATTTTTTAACCTATAGGGCATGTTGTGATCTGTGGGGGAAACCGGAGTACCCGGAGAAAACCCACGCATGCATGGGGAGAACACGCAACTCCACGCAGAAAGGCCGCAGCCGAGTATCGAACCTGCGACCTTTGTGTTGCGAGGCAACAGTGCTAACCACTGCGCCACCATGCAGTATATATATATATACACATACATATACAAGTACATAAATACATGCATATATATACATATATACGTACATACATACATACATGCATATATATACATATATACGTACATACATACATACATGCATATATATACATATATACGTACATACATACATGCATATATATACATATATACGTACATACATACATGCATATATATACATATATATATGTATATATATATATGCATGTATGTACGTATATATGTATGTACGTATATATGTATGTACGTATATACGTATGTACGTATATCTATCTATATATATATATATATGCATAGTCTCCATTTGTTAGCCGAGATGGGAAAAATATTGGTTGTTAATATCGGCCCAGTTTTATATATCGGACCAATACCGATATGTAAAAAAATAACTAACTTCGGCCGATATTAATCCCGATATATTGTCCATCCCTATGTAAAACAGCATGATATGGGTCCTTTTATAATCAAATGTGTGCAGAGTCTGTTGAAATGAACAAGAACATCGCCCACATGGACAGAAAAATACTCAAAGTCTTGGAGAGGAATCATCTCAGCCACAGGCTGTTTGTCTGATTTAGAAAATGTTTGCATATTTGCAATCAAGGTTCACAGGAAACCCAGAATCATGGCCTGTCAGCAAATGGGTCTCGTCTCATCGTGGTTGCAAAGGGCAGAACATTTAAAAAAGAGACTTTATAATGAAATTTGGCTACAGATTTCTTATAGTATTACTCATACAAATATTTAAAAAGAGGAATATTATCTTGCTTTTTAGGAAGAAACTTTCTGAAAATGATTTAACAACCAGTTAAATTGCCTTCAGAAAGCCAAGAACTGAATTGGTGGTTTAAGAGGACAGAAGCTCAGTTCTCACGTCACTTCTAATAATCAGAACTCTTTTCTCAAGATGGACATTTCTGATGAATGAGTATTATCTATATGTTTGACTCATTGTTTTATTTCACAATAAATGAAACAAAATGTGAAAACTGATGTCCATTTTATGTATTTATTTTTATTTACCCACCACAGATGGACTTGTGATTCTCTGGTTCAGGGGTTTAAAATATTTTCCTCTTGAAGGACTCACTCTAATCAGGGTTAAAGCGAATATGTGAGCAATTTGCAACTAAATTCAAAGTGAAGTAGATAAGAAGTGGAATTGTTGTCAGGTGTAGAACACTCATTTAAAATACATTTGCAGGGGTCTCTAGTAGGAATTAATGTCTTGTAAGTTGTACTTGGAAGGCAAAAAACACAGGTGCACCATTTCTAGGCGCTAGAAGTGAGCCACATCACAGCTGAGCTTCAGACGGTGAGTTTTGGAGTCTTATTTCCTGATATTTGGACAGCTCACCTCTGTTAAGCTAACAGCGATGCAACTCTGCTACTGACTTCCAACGTAAATGTTTTATCTCCACAAATAAACCTGGAGGAGCTTTTCTTTGTGGTGGGGTTGCTAATGCTAACGGTTAGCTTCTACTACCGGAGACGCGCTAAGCCCTTTCTTGGGCGCTAAACCAACAACAGCCTTCCCTGTCACGAGTCCAGATGGATGAGTCCATGAATGTTAGTTTTTTTCGATTGCTAAAACGCATTTTTCAAAACTGTACGTTTCTTTCAAAACTGCACACAAAACCCCAAACACACAAATTCCTAAACTGTGGCTTCCCTTTGCAACAAAACCCACTTTTCTCTGAGACAAACATTAGACAACACACAAATTTTGAGACAAAACATTTTATTTTTACAGTTATACCCCCCCCCCCCCCACCCCCCCACCCCCCACCCCCTCTCCCATTCAAGCATAATCATGGGGCATCATGCCTCCGGTCTCTGTCTGGCCAGAGGGCCTCATCAACATCACAGGTGATGTCCTCCTGGTCCAAACAGCGCTGGAAGTACCGCCTCGAGTGCCTCATGAAGCCCTGACAGGCCTCAAAGGCCACATCTCTACAAGCCTCCTCCATGGCTTGAAGCAGTGGGACCTGGCTCTGTGGATTCCTTTCGTACACCTTCCACCTCCAGGCTGAGAAAAACTCCTCAGGGGGATTGAGGAAGGGGGAATAAGGTGGAAGGTATAAAATGAAGAACCGTGGGTGGTCCTGAAACCACTCATACACCTGGGTAGCCTTGTGGAAACGTACTTTTATGCTGCAGTCCCTGACTGCAAATTGCTCGCCAGACCCGAAAGTTTAGAGATTTGAATATTTGTGTGTTGTTGATTGAAGCTTTGAGAATTTATGTGAGAAGTGTGTGTAAACCTGAAAATGGTGTGTTGTGTTTTGACAGCAAGGTAATGTGAAAATTGACATCAGAGTGTAAAGGAGGAAAATCAGAGTTCTAATATGATAAGGAAATCTTAAGTAGCGATAAACTGAGTCAAGCGACTGGGAACAGAAGTAAAGGTTGTGAAAATTGTGCCTCATTTTTGCTTTTTGAGTTTTAGCAATCGAAAAAAACTAAGTGACAGTGTGACGTAGATCTGTTGGGCTTTTCAAATCCTAGAGTTTCTATTTCTGTTTTCTATCAGACATTAATGCAGGAGATAGGTGTAGGAGACCACTTTCATGTTTAGCCTGCATAAAAAACTGAGTGACCGATTATAATCAGAAATGATTATTAAAAATGGTTTTCCAGCGTTCCACACCTTTAAACACAGATCCACAGATTATAAGATTGATTTGTTTTATAGAGATACATTTTAAAAAGCTGCAGCAGTGTTTGTAGAACAGGTTCAATTATTTTAATTCTGAAGAAATCACGATTTCTATGCAGGGAATATGTAATCCAAACAGTTTTCCATATCTATAAAAAAAAGAAAGCTTTCATTGTGAATGATTGAAAATTACTAAAAAAGAAAAGACAAAAAATTGTTCTTTTGTTTTAATAGTGAACGCTAGACTACAGAAACTCGACCTATAAACTAAGAATTTATGCGTTTGCATTGTTAGCTTGGATCTTTGATTTTTGGAGGATTTCTGATTAATAAATATTTTTACCCACGCTCTGCTTCCATTGGTTCTAGCCTGATCTCTCACCTTGCTTGGCTGCTTTGGTTTTGGTTTGATACTGATGAAGACATCCAGCTGCTCCATCAGTGCTGTGATGCACTGTGGCTCCACCTCAACATCCTCTTTGATGTCAAACATTAAAACCAGAGGCAAGCAGCCCTGTCGGGCAAACAAACAAAAACAAATATATATAAATACATACATTTAAAAACACAAACAACTGCATGTAAACTTTTACTTTCCTATTTGAGCAGCAACATACTACCTTTATAACAAGCTGTTTGTGCACTTAAATTATATTCTCTTTTTGGTAAACTTCCTTTTCTACTATAGCATTTACAGGCCGAGACATAGCCGTACCAATAAAGAGAAGATTCATGGCTGCATTCAGCCCTCACAGAGTTTGGGAAATTCCAACAAGTTAAATCGCTTTTGCACGATCACCACCACAAGCTCCACACACATCGGTATTTTGGGATGAGCGCTGGACAGCACTCCGATTGTGAGTGGGTGTAATTAGCAGCAGAGTATAGAATCAGGCTGCCTCTGAGATTAGAGCTGTAATCTACAGTCTGGCTACAGTAGTAATCTACAGAGACCAAAATCGTGCAGCTCTATTTCTGCCGACAGGAAACGTCACCTTCTCCTCATCCCATTTCTTCTCCAACTCAAAGCTGATCCTCTGCTTCCCATGTCCCCCCCCCCCCCCCCCTTCTCATCTGCAACTCATCTCCCATCACCTCAAAAGTTTTAATTTCCCCACAGAGTGACTTGCATGTTTTAAAGCTGAAGGAAGGTCATGTTTAGTCACTGATACAACTTCAGCACTCCCCAAGTGTGTTAGCGATCAACTGGGAGACCGCAGACAAAGACAAGCAGCTCTTGCAGAATTACTGCCCACATTACGGATCTCCAGACAAAAATCAAAAAGTTGTTTACAGCCGAGAGGCCTTTGACTCACCAGTTAAGCAGAAGTTTAAACCAACAGCGATTAAACAGCCATTACTTTTACACATTTCTGAAACGGACTAATTATATTCCTGAGTAATAGTAGGGAAGAGTCGCCTCAGTGGTCACAGGCAACAGCACGACAATGGCCACTGTGTGTGCATGTGTGTATATAATATATATATACACATATATATATATATATATATATATATATATATGTGTATATATATATATATATATATTTATACACACACACACACACACACACACACACACACACACACACACACACACACACACACACACACACACATTTATGTGTGTACATACACATAAAAACAATTCAGCAATGTAAGCAGGGCCAAGCAAACATCCACCAAGGCTGTTCGAACCCTCGAGGAAATCATGGTTTACATCTAAATCCATCCAAAAACTCCACACATCATTCATCCTCTACTAGATGTTAATGAGACAACTGTATCTGCATTTATAAGGAATATAGAACAAATTCTATTTTAACCATAATAAAATTTAACAATTCAGTTGGATTAAAAAAATAAATAAATGAACACACCATGAGGCACTGCCGTGCCAGGCAGACGGATTCAATGGTCCCCTGGATGTAGACCGTGGATTTCTTTTGGGGTCCGTTGGGGTCAGGAAAGTGAATCTGGGCTCCCGTCCTCTGGGTGATGTGCTTGATGTTGCTGCCGTTGCGTCCCTTCATGAAAAGGTGGTGCTGCGGCGCGATATCCAGGTGGGTGGTGATGGAGATGGTACTCGCCAGACTGCCAGCGAGGTGTTCTAGCAGCAGAGCTGTGCCTCTCTGGGGAACAAACAACAACATGGTACTTATTATGCATGAATACAGAAAAATAAGAATAAAAATAAATAAAGCATCAGGTGCTGACAAGCAGTACTAATAAAAGTAAATGTGTTTCACACTTACATCATTCTCATTTAATAGCTGACTGATTTGTGTTGACTCACTGATACCACATAAAAAACTGAGTATATCCATTTAAAAAAAAAAAATCACAAAATATATTTAAAAACCAAATCAATCTACATATATGAAAATCTGGAATCAGTAATATATGATATTAGTGCTCAGTAAATGATTAAATTGTTGTCAATGAGCAAAATTCTACTTTTACTATCCTTTATCTTCATTTGGGAGGAATTTGACTTAAGGGTAAAATATTACTGCCAACCAGAAGGTTGCAGAAGTGTAATTCAATAAAAGCAAATTTAGAAAATGTAGAAAATTGAGAAATCCTGCAAGATTTTGCTTCTAAGACTAAAAATATGTAACTGGTCTGCAGGATTTTATCTAAACACCCATCCATCCAGCAGCCTAAGTCAAGAGTCCCAGACTTCCCTCTCCCCAGCTACTTGGGTCAGCTCCTCTGAGGGAATCCTAAGGCGTTCTCTGGCCAGCCGTGAGACATAGTCCCTCCAGCGTGTCCTGGTTCTTCCTTTAGGTCTCCTCCTGGTTGGACGTGCCCAGAAAACCTCACCAGGGAGGCATCCAGGAGGCATCCTGATCAGATGCCCGAGCCACCTCAACTGGCTTCTCTCGACGTGGAGGAGCAGCGGGTCTACTCCAAGGCCCTCCCGGTTGACCGAGCTTCTTACCCCATCTCAGGGACAGCACAGCCAGAAAACTCATTTCATCTGCTTGTATCCGTGATCTTGTTCTTTCGGTAACTACCCAAAGCTCGTGACCTTAAGTGAGGGTAGGAACGTAGATCGACCAGTAAATCGAGATCTTCGCCTTCTGACTCCGCTCTCTCTTCACCACGACAAACCGGTACAACGCCCACATCACTGCAGACACAGCACCAATCTGCCCATTGATCTCATGCTCCAGCTTTCCATTACTCGTGAACAAGACCCCGAGATACTTAAACTCCTCCACTTGGGGCAGGTCCTCGCTCCTGACCTGGAGAAGGCATTCTACCCATTTCTGATTCAAGACCATGGTCTTTAATTTAGAGGAGCTGATTCTAATTCCAGCCGCTTCACACTCAGCTGCGAACTAGTCCAGCAAACGCTGGAGATCAGTGTCTGATGAAGCCAACAGGACCACATCAGCTGCAAAAAGCAGAGACCTGATCCTCAGGCCACCAAAGCAGATCCCCTCACCACCTTGGCTGCATCTAGAAATCCTGTCCATAAAAGTTATGAACAGAATCGGTGATAAAAGGCAGCCTTGGCGGAGTCCAACTCTCACTGGAAAAGAGCTCGACTTACTCCCGTAATGCGGGAGTCCAAACCCTCTTGAGAAAACTGGTTCCAGAGCCAGAGTCATGCGTTGAGGTGAGTCCAACTATATCTAGCCGGAACCTCTCAACCTCACCCACCAACTCCGGCTCTTACCCCACCAGAGAGGTGACATTCCACGTACCGAGAGCTAGCTTTTGTAGTAGAGAATAAAGACTGCCAAGGTCCCTGCCTTCGGCTACCACCCAACACACATGATTGCACCCAACCACTTTGGCCCCTCCCACGAGTGGTGAGTTAATGGAAAAGGAGATCCACGTCTCGTCTTCAGGCCGTGCCCGGCTGGGCTCCATGAGTAAAAGCCCGACGTCCAGGCGCTCACCAACGTGCCTCAACTGCAGGCCTGGTTCCAGTGGGGGGCCCTGGTGACCCGCGTCCAGGCGAGGGAACGCGGTTTCCATTTATGTTTTCCTTCATAAGAGGTCTATGGGCTGCACTTTGTCTGATCCCTCACCTAGGACCTGTTTTCCACGGGTGACCCAACCAGAGGCACAAAGCCTCAGACAACGTAGCCCTCCACCACGGTAAGGTGGCGGCCCAGGGAGGGGCATGAAACACCATGAAATCAAGTAATTTGAAGGGTAAAATGAATGTATATTATTTAAAAAAGCATTTTTTCTCTAAGCCTACTGATGAAAACTATTTCATTTTTTATAAACACAAAAGCTCACTGTTACACAGTACTTAGACCACATCAAAAAAAAAAAAAAACATAGCAGAACCCTCCTCCCCAAAAACAGTATTATTTTTAAAGTTGACAACAGGAAATCTTGTGTTTTCCACGGTATGGGGCAGGGTTAGGGTTAGTCTTTAAAGAGTAAATTCTAAAGGCACATCTTAGCCTAGCAGATCCATCAATCCCAGCTGGAATTCACATCTCAGCCAACATCAGACAAAAATCCAAAGTGGTTTTGGCAATCTGGGAAGGTGCTGTGAGGGCCTAGACCACCAAACAACATTACACTTCATCCACGAGATCCGTTAACCTTCATCTGGCAAGCGTCCCAGTCACGACTGACCCCTCAGACCCTCCACAAAGTCAAACACTACTGCAAACATTTCCTGCATGCAGAACACCATTATGCACTGTAGCCCGGCAAGTAAAAAGAAAAGAAAATGCAAACGTGAATGCATTGAGGTGCATTAAGTTCAAATGCAGTATGCTGATGAACATGATTGAAACTCCTTGGCAGGACATCACCAACAATAGCTCAGAGGTCTGATGAGCGCATGCATCTCTGTGTATTTATTATATTAAGTTTCCATAATGAGTATTATGTCGTATATGAGCTGGAGACATAAATAAAACCCCTCCAAGACTGATTTAAAATAAAAGCCAGACTCCATGGAGACTTGTGGACTTGCTGTTACAACTTTCTGATGGAAAGCTGAATAAGCAGAAATTTAGCTGAAGTGAGACCAAACGTGTTTCAACACCCTGCTGCCTCGGTGGTATATGGATGAACAAGGACGTTTTTATAAGAAAAGTGAAAAAAAAAATAGACAAAGCTTTTATTATTTGATCACAAATGAAAGGAAAATTGAATTAAAATGAATTTAAAATTATTAGAGAAATAAATAAAATATGAGGACATACATTTGAGAAAGCAATAAAAATGAAATTAATAATGAGACAGCTTTTTTTATACGAGACTCCTCACCTTCACTGCGTTGACGTTATTCTGTGATCCGCGGACAACACCTGTGGCCCTGTAGAGGCGCGTCGGGGGCTTGAAGGAGACGGTGAGGTTGTACGTTTGTGAGATGTGCTGCACAGTCGGGGAGCTGGGGTCAGACTGCATGATGGCTGGAAGCTCGAAAGATAGAACAAGAGGTAGCAGCTCCTGAAAGGATGAACAGGAAGATGGAAGAAGATGTGAATGGAAATAGTTTTGTTTTTATTAAATGGGGTTGTGTGCAAAAGCTGTTAGTCAGTATCTCGCCTGCAGCAGAAAAAAGTCAGTGGGATCACAGTTTAGAGAATAACGAAGAACTTTTCAGAGAGGAGTCATATTAACAGAGCAGAGCTCATTTAAGAGCTAAATCCTGCCAACTAAAACAAGCTAAACAGATTTCAAGCTGTTCCAGAGCACCTTAAATATTTCCACACCGTCGTTTTTACACAAAAAGGTTTATTTTCTTAACTGGACAAAGTTCTTTTTTCTTTGTGTGTCTGCATGCATTGCTGGAGGAACAACTCCTGTCAGTAAAAGCAAGTGATTACAAAAAGTTAAATAAAATAAAACTAATAATGATAATAATAATAATAATGTTTTATTTTCTGAGAAAATAAGAATATATGCATGAGTCAAAATCCAGAGAACAGACTGTTTTAAAGACGAACTCCAGGTCAGGAAACATTTATCCACTGCAGGTGCAGCAACATGAACACTGGTTGAGATAATAGTGACAGGAAAGAGTGGCAAGATGTTAAAGGTGTCCTGGAACAACTCTTCATTTTTATACAATTAAAAACTGTTTATTTAGCCTCTCTGTAACATATGAAACTTTGTTGTGGCTCAGAATGGCCCATGAGCCCTGATAAATGGCCAACTACTACCTCAAAATAAGGCCCTACAATGGATAGACTGGTTTGCCCCACCCACTCAGCCAGAACATGAATATTAAATGAGCTGCATACTGATTGGCTGATTTATGCCAATGACTCTATGACACTCCCCGTACTCTGTAAGCTGTGAATCTACCTGGCTTTCGTTCGAAGTCTTGAAATTCTCTGTGCATCCTGAAATATTACATGTGTGTTCCAATATTCTTCTTTGTTGTTTTCCACTTGTCCAACAAGGACGTTTGCAGAAGCTAATGCTACCGTTGTTCTGCGGCTAGCATTACTCCAGACAATGTTAATACGTTTCCATGATCAAAGTGGGTTGGGACATGCTAATTTAAGGGTGTGTGTTTAAGCTTGTGACATGTTAAACTAGGGGTGTCCCAGTACAACTTTTTCACTTCCGATACGATACCGATATTGCAGCCTTCAGTATTGACCGATACCGATATCAATCTGATACGATATCAGCACAAATCATACATACTTTTACCTATTTTGTAGTGTGGAGTGTATGAAAGGCTTGATCAAGAATATTACTTAATCAACAAGAAAAAAGAGCCAATAACAGTAAGTATGAAAAAAATGAAAATTTTTGTCTTAACCATTGGTTGCAAAAATGTGAACCTTAACTAACTGCTTATTTCTGGTATTTTTGATGCCGTCTGATATAATCCGATGCACTTTTTGGGTTGATATCGAATTACTTCCGATATTGAAACGGGACAACCCTATGTTAAACCAGCTTTCCACAAAACAAACAGTTTCTCCATGGCCATTGCAACATTACAAATCTACATAGGAAAGCACAGTCCCAGAGTTGAAATTGTTTAGCCTTAAATGTTAGATTGACTTTAATAATCAAACTGGAGAAATATGGGTTCAGGGGTGTGGTATTGGATTGGATAAAAAGCTATGTGATGAATCGACAGGAATATGTACAAATAAATGAGTTTAAATCTAAATTGATGGATATTGAATGTGGAGTACCTCAAGGATCAGTATTGGGACCAAAATTGTTTATAATGTATATAAATGATATTTGTAAAGTATCGAAGATCCTAAAGTTTGTAATTTTTGCAGATGACACCAATATACTTTGTTCGTGGGGAATTTCAACAGGTTGTGGAGGTGATCACACAGGAGTTAAAGATATTAAAGACGTGGTTTGATAGAAACAAATTGTCCTTAAATTTAAATAAAACAAAATTTATGTTATTCGGAAACCATAAGAAAAATATTAACATTGAAATATGTGTTGATAATGTGTATCTAGAAAGGGTTAATACCATAAAATTTCTTGGTGTGGTCATTGATCATAAGGCCTGTTGGAAATCACACATCACTTATGTGAGGGGAAAGTTAGCACGGGGCATTGCTGTCTTGGGGAAAGTAAAACATTTTCTGGATAGGAAAACATTATATATGTTATATTCTGCTTTCATATTACCATACATGAGTTATTGTGTAGAAGTTTGGGAAAACACATATAAAAGTAATATTCAGACCATAATCATAATGCAAAAAAGGGCTATTAGACTAATAAATCAGGAGGGGTATAGGGCTCACACAAACACACTCTTTATTAAGACGCAAGCTTTAAAATTCCAGGACCTGGTCAAGTTTAAAACAGTGCAAATAATATATAAGGCAAGGAAAGGGATGCTCCCAATTGAAATAAGTAAATGGTTCTTAGAAAGAGAAGGGAGGTATAATTTTAGAGGGAAGTGGAATTTAAAAGTACAAAGAGTAAGAACAACATTGAAAAGGATGTCCATTTCAATAGCGGGCGTTAAATTCTGGAATGAGTTAACAGAAGAAATAAAGGTCAGTAGTAATGTAAACCAGTTTAAAATAAAACTCAAAAAAGAAATGTTAAATAAGTATAAGAATGAAGAAAATGCAATTAACCCAGGACGGCATGCAAACTGATGTTTAATCTCTTCTACAAATTAGAAAATCTAAATATAGTTCTAGTTGAACATGATAATTTTATTTATTTATTTATTTATTGTGTGTTTTTTTAAGGCATTGTAAATGTTTTGTTGTTTAAATTTTGATGATGAGGATGTAAACCTGAGAGGGTAGGGCTAAATAAGTATACACTTCTCCCTACTCCTTTTCAAACAACTGCATGGAATGATTTTATGAAATGTTGGTGAATGTATATGTTTGAAATAAAGTGAACTGAACTGAACTTGCTCCAGAAATGTCCTCAATTCTGCCATCTGTTGCAATGATTTATAACAATAATTCCAAACAACCCTAAACCTGTTGATTGATGCAAGAATTGCTGCAAATTTAGTTAACATCTTCTGATGAGAGACGACACTTGGACGTAGCAGCCCCTTACTTTAACCAAGGGTGGGAGAACTTCACATGCGTATCTGTCAATTCAAACTCAGAGAAAGCAATGCAACAATCAACAGCCTCCTGCAGTGGACCGGGGTGCCACTGCACAGTTTCATCACGAACGCAGTTAAACAGATCCTGCCAAAGCCGGCCATGAAAACAGTAGAGCTTCTTAGTCTGTTAAAGGTCATGGCTACACACGGTACTTCAAAATTAAGTTCACGAAATTGAAAAACATTACGGGTCTTTGGCTTGTTCATTCTCACACATTACATCCACTAAATTAAACAGCGGGACTAGCAAAAAGACAGCAGTTCCTGTTCATTGTATTGAAGCTGTCATTCAAACAAAATGAATGATGACAGGAAAGCTTCAGCTCATGCACACACATTCATATGCATGCATGGAAGAGAAATTACACTGGAACACATCCATACACATTCAAGCTGATGGAGGTTCAGAAATACACACTAACAGAGGAAGACACACACACACATGCACACAGTTATCCAAACATTGACTTTTGGGCACAGTGCCACTATGGTTTTGGCTGCCAGTTAAGGGCAAGCAACATGAATTGCTCTGACCAAAGAAATGCATCCATGATCACTCCCATATGCTCTTGGCCTTACATTTAAATCACGTTTCAGCACTCTCTCTCTCTCTCTCTCTCTCTCTCTCTCTCTCTCTCCCTCTCTCTCCTAGAGCTCGGGAAATTTAGGTCAGAACCGAGGAAAATGCAAGAAAGGAGAAGCAGTGAGCAGCAGGAGTCAGGCGCTGAGTGAGGAATAGACAGTATTTTATGGTGGAGCCGACTGTAGTTTCTTTTTTTACATCTCTACCAGGGAAATTAGAGTTTCATGCGTATTCAATCAGAAAGTGTCCTTTAAAAGCCTCAGTTCCACTGACACAGGGCGAAAAGATGAAGAAAAATGAAAATATCTTTGAGGTAAAGCAACTGGTCGGAGCTTTCATCACCTGCATGTCAGCTCCACCTTTTAATGCTGCCAGAAATCCCCCAAGAATCCATCATCTGAATAACAGATTTGTTATAAACGGAAAAGGATCTCCACCCAGAATCGGTTTAGAAGTACTGTCGTGATGTCTGAATGTTTATATAGCGCCTTTTAGAGTCCTGGAACCCACCAAGGCACTTTACAACACAACCAGTCATTCATCCATTCACACACACATTCACACCCTGGTGGGGATGAGCTACATTGTAGCCACAGCTGCCCAGGGGCGCACTGACAGAGGCGAGTCTGCCGTACACTGGCGCCACCGGTCCCTCCGACCACCACCAGCAGGCAAGGTGGGTTAAGTGACTTGCCCAAGGATACAAGGATAGCGACAAACTGAGCAGGGCTCAAACCTGCAACCTTCCGATTAGGCGAGCACTTAACACCCGTGGAAATGTAATTTCCAAATTTACTGTATCTAAAGCAGAAGATCGAACACCAACATAAACGTTTTCCTAGCCTACAAATCTGGACAAAACATAGAAGTAGCAGATGTTCTGAGGGTTGGTCTAGCCATGCTCCATTGTTGTCTTAGCAGGTCTACCATTGGCCCGAACAATTTCAAGTCGGGCCAATCACAGCGATTTATATTTGTAGAGAGACACTGGGTGGGCTTAGCACCAGAGCTGTGACGGTGAACAAATATAAAGATGGCATCAGCTCAGCAACAATGCTCCTTTGAAACGGCTTTGGTATCAACTTTGGACAATTTGGACTATGGCTTTTCTTTGAGACAAGAGTAGATAGAGGTGTTTAAGTCCTTTATTTATGTTATTAATGTTGTTGCTTCTTCTTCTTCGACAGTGTATGATGGACTGCCATCTCACAACCATGTCCTAGCACTGTCCAAATGCATGCGAAGACCGTTTGCAAAACAACTATACATTCCGCCCCATGAATAAGATCCATCTATGGATTTTGGCCAAGCTTTATATTTATATATTTAGGATGTTTTGCCAGGTTAGTGATTTCTACAAAAATAGAGAAAATTTCGATCTAAAAAGCAGAAAATGATTTAAGAGTCAAGGAAATTTAAACCCTTTTAACTAGACAAACTGCAAATCGGCGTAATATTACTGCAACAGTGTTTCTTATAAACGTGCCATTCCAGCATGGCAATGTGCAAATTTTGCAGCATTCTTTCCACCTCTCTTGGTAGTAATATTGTGGTAATTGTCATATAAATGGCGATTGTGCTTTGGCGCAACAGAAAGAGGTGTCATGATGACGTAGGGAGTTAATGCAGAGCTCCGGCTGGCAACTTAACTGAAAATAAAAGCAAACAAGGGCCGTAAGCTTTGCTTTTCGAACTAAATCAGCTGAGCTGCAGAGCTCCAGGAGCTTCTCTCCATTAGAGCTGGAGCTCAGATCATCAGAGACTGCACGGGGACTGTGGAGGGCAGACACATTTAGGAGCAACTTGTTAAAAAACCTTGATAAACCCGGCTTTGATCGCGATAAAAAGCAAGTTATGTCCAAGATAAACGGATGTCCGCAGCAGCGCAGAGACCGCCCCCATACCCACTTTATGCTGCCACTGCGTAATCTTTGCCTCATTATCGCCATGGTCTGACCATGGATGACTGGCCCTGATGCCGCCACGGTGCTGCGGCAAATTGAAGGTACTGTTTAGTAAAAACTAACTTTTAGATTCTAGCTAGTAGAACCAACAATTTAGCTGGTTGTTTAGAAAATATCTGACATAGTCCACTAGCCTGGCAAACCATCCCAGGGTTTTTCCTGCGTTCATATTTGCATGGCGGCCGCCTCCAGCTAATTTTGTGCCGTCCCAGCCTGATTTCACTCTACCCCCAGCTATATGGATGTTATTTTAACTGCAGTTGCAGCGTTGCACCACTACAGGGTCGCTGTATCAGCAGCGGTGCACCGAAAAGCGCTAAAACAGCTGCAGAAAAAGAAGATCAAAAATTGCTTTTCTCGCAAGTTGGTACATATCTATGGTTAGTGCTTTTGACGTCCTGGTTTTCCCCCAGCCTCTTCCATATCAGAGCAGGGCTGTACAGTGCGACAAAAAAAAAAACTGTCTGTGCATGTCTGTCTATTTTTAAACGTAGCACTGGTGCAGCATCTTTGAATTACTATTTTCCCCAGAACTTTACTGAACAAAAGTAAGTTACGTGTAAGAAAAATGCTTTTAACTGGCACACAGTGTGGTAATCCTGATGCAGTGGAGGAAAATAAAGCAACCAGCAAAGGCACAAAGGCAGAACTGGTCCAAAGTTTGGGATCAAAAGTGCAGCTACACTCAGATTGCTAATGCTAAAGCTAACAGGTAGCAGTCTCAATATCAAGTGGCGTGCAGAAAAATATATGATGATTGTAAAACTAAGAAAGACTAAACTCTACAAGCAGATGAAAAGTCCCCACCATCCTGTTTATTCTGTATCCTGCAGCGCTATGGATCAGAACCGCTGCAGATACGAGTCACATTCGCAGGAAGTATGGCAAGCCGTTGTAGTATATAAATCACAGACGCTTCTATCTTTGAACATAATTTAAACTGGATTATTGCCAATCCGTACATAATGGACATGCCACCATTACATTGTTAGCAGCAGAAATTAAATGTTATTAGCATCTCCAATACAAATGCATGTTAATGCAATTCATTATATTTTATTGGATATATTTATGTGTTATTTTGACTAAGATAAGTGTTATTAATACAAACCTAAAATATTACTGAAATGTAGGTCAAATATTTAAAAATATTTTTACCTATAAATATCAGATGGGAAATGGGAACTAAACACCAATCTAATGCATATTAATTGGCCTTTTATAATGAGTCTGTTTTTTCAGCCTGATAATTGTGTTGTTTTATTTCATATTTTTTAGCAGCAAACCAGTTTTGTTTTACTTGAAACGTCAAATGGAAATTCAATTAATCAACAGAAGCTTAGATTAGAACACTTAATGAAAAAATATTTAGCCTTTAAAAAAGTGAGGCAGTTGAATGCACAGAGTATGCATGTGCTGGCGCATGGTCAGGATGGTACCACCTCTGCCTCAGTTTGAGCCAGGAAAAACCCTGCATCCTATATATGTGAACATATGGTCTGGCCACGACCCATAGGGAGACCTCAGTTTCTGTCTGCATGCTTTATGACAACAAACAATGTGACATACTCATCACTATGGGTGTCATTCAATGGGGCAGTCCACCGTAAATGACACAAGTGCATCCTTTTTAAAAAAAATAATTACCTAAGTACCTCTATATGCTCTAGACTCAAAGAAAAGCCTAGGTCTAAATAGTCCAAAGTTGACACCAAAGCCATTTCAAACAAGCCGTCGACATCTTTGTTGTTCAGCTCAGTCACAACCATCCTGCCTACCAAACCAATAGAGCACAGTGATTGGCAAAACGCAATACTGTTCAGGCCAATGGTAGACCTGCTGAAGCTTCTATGGCGTGTGGCTAGACCAAAGCGCAGGAGCAAAATCATTTTGCTTCAGCTACTGTCTGTCTAGATTTCTAGGCTAACAGTCCACATCACTCATTAGAAAATCTAACTTTTCATTAACTTTTAAGTGTTTTTCCTTTGAAACACCGCTAACACACTTCACATTTGGAGCCCAAAGCCACATTCGTGGCTTCTCACAACCATGAACCAAAAGGTTCTTTGTACAATACGAACGCCTGTGAGGTTTCATTATTGTTTTTAAAATTCTACCTTTCCTTAGAAATAAGTAACAGATGAACTGAGTCATACATTGTTGTCTATGAAAACACACATTAGAGATGGAGAGGTGTAGGCACGCATGTCTGCCAACATTTGCCAGTACCGCCTGCAGAACCACTTAACATGACCTCCCCTCTCTTTCTCTTTACTTTGCTCATTCGGCCACCCTCACAAGCAAACGCAGCCTTGTCGGTTTTGGCTGGTCTACAGGGGTTGGGGGCCTTTGCTGAAGCTACTGCTGTAATTTTGAAACACAACAAACATTTGAGGATGTAACAGCTCAAAACTACTGTGAAAATCCTCTGCTCACTGAAGCTAGCTTCCAGTCAGACCTAAAATGAAAGCAGAGGAGAGGTTTGGAAAGGGGATGGAGATGGGCTTGCCAAAAAGGTTGAGTTTAATACTTGTACTTTACAACTGGTCTGAGGAAGTGGTCTGAGAATAAACTAGGAATGGTGTTTGTGGCTTTGAGGAAGTGTGGACAACGTTGACCAGAATAAAGATATACCCTCATATATTTTAAAATTGGATATGGAAATTAGAGTTTTATGCTTTTTCAGATAATTAAAAAAAAAGATCATTTTGGTTTTCGTATGCGAAGGGTTTTGGGACTTTTCATCTATTTTGTAATGCAACTATTCTAACATTCTTGAAATAGGAGATGATGTATCTCAGTTCCTATAGGTTGTGTTTCATAATGCAAGTGAGGTTCCAACCCCAACATTAGGAACCACTTCAATAAAGTGTGTTTTGACAGCTTCAGAAGCAGGATACAGTATTTATTGTCAAGCAACTCAACCACTACTGAGCTGGTGTGGAAAACTAGAAGTTTGGTGGTACAACGTGAGAAAAGTCACATTTTTAGATAAAAGTGGCCAAGTTCCAACTTACCCTTATTTTTACACGAGCTGCCTCCACTCCTCCTGGCTGCCCCGCGATGGACACCTGTTAACAATAAAATGACTCAGCCAGTTCCAGCCCAGCAGTGAACAATGCCAGAGATACAACACATGTTCTCACACATATTTAGTCCAATAGTTAAGTGTCACAGTTTAAATGCGTGGATTTTAAACAAAGCCACAAAAATGAGTGGTCACAGTAAGATATTTCCATATGAAACCACAATTATTATTATTTTTTTACATTCTACACTAAACTGCTGAAAAGTCTATTAAACAAACTAAAAACGGTTTTGGGTATCTGTTGTTAAAACAGCAGAGATTATACAGACATAAAGCAGGCTCTGACTTTAGAGCTACAACACACGCAAATACAACCATGCTTGGAAGGGAAGCATGAAGCAATCAGTTATTCCAACATGAAAAGGTCTTATTAACTCTGAAATGTGCAACAGCCACTCCAGACAGGGTTAAAAGTATGCAGCTACACACACCACTCAGTATAAACCAGTCTGCTCCAGCCCAGAGGCTTCAGAAACTAGAGAAAACGAAGGGAGTGCTTTAAGGGGTGTTGAGCCTTGAGGGAGCCTCTTGCTTCTCATCAGCCCATACTTGCATCATCAGAGAAAGTGGATGTGATGGAAGAGTCCATGAGATACAGAGGAGTTTAATGTTGCAGAATATTCAAACTGCACCATGTGAGATAAGAAGAAAAGTCCATAAACCTTTAAAAGTTGTCAGAACTTTAGTGATGACTTTGAAAAAAAAGCTAGTAAAGATGCACAATTAAAATTCTAATGCATTGTGTGTGTCCACAAAGTCTTCAGACTAGGGCTGCAACAATTATTTTGATAGTCCAATAATCAGATTGTGCATAAATTCTACCTTAAAGTAGTACCAGCATGCAGCTACTCTAATGTGACCATCTTCTTGAGGTGTTGTCTCTGAAGTGTTATGTGACATCTAAAAATAAAGACAGCTCATTCAACTAATTTTAAAAACATTTTCAACTTGCAGAAAATAAGGAAAACAAGACAATGGGCCTAAAGGTGTGGTTCACTCATTTAATTAATATGTTTTCAGTTGTCTCTAGTAGGAATGAATGCCTTTTAAGTTGGACTCTGGATACAAAAATCCCAGGTGCACCTGCTTCAGGATCTAGGAGATTGCCAGATCAGAGGAGAGCTTCAGACAGCAGGATTTTGAGTCTTACTTCCTGATATTTGGACATCTCACCTCTGATTGGCTAACAAAAACACAACTCTACCACTGACTCAGTTTGCTTTGCAACTTATTTCTCCACAAATAACAAGCCTGGAGGAGTTCTGCTGTGTGGTGGAGTTTCTCATGCTAACTGTTAGCTTACCTGAGATGTTCTCTGCTGTTTCCTGGACGCTAAACCAATGCTCTTTGAGCCTCATTGACTTGAATTTATATTTTCAATCTTCCGGGGACCCAACAACCGACCCGAAAGAGACTTGAGCTCCCTATTGACGTTAATGTTAGCAGCTAACTAGCAATATAGCTTCAGGAGGTGACCGTTGCCCTTTGTCGTCAGCCACAACGTGATTCTTTAAAAAAAAAAAAACTATTTTTAAAGTTACAGTAAACATATGATGTGTGCTATGAGTAATGCAATCACTACTGTTAATATTAGCAGCTAACTAGTAAATTAGCCTACATAAGCAACTGTCTCTCTTAGTCGTCGGCCATAACGTGGTTCCTTACAAGATACTTGTGAATCACTGTCGTACTGCCATGGAAGGTTAAGTTCTACCCTATAGCTTTTGCATCTCTCTAATTTTTATAAAATGCTCCCAAACTTTCGAGCTGTATTGCCAGCTCGGCATGATTCCTTGGGCTTTTCAAGTGATGCTGCGGTCAGTGGCGATGCCAGGGGGGCGCTATAGCTACCCCTGGATTAGTCATTGCACCCCCAAGTAAATATTAGATTTATTTTTTTTACAAGTTAATTTTAATTTAACGTGTGGATGTGATAACATTTAACACACAAAACAAAAATAATCAGTAAATTATCATATAGATAATAACAACTTAAACTAAAACAGGAAATTGATGTTAACCTTTGACCTCATTTTCCACCTGCGAACGAGTGAAAGGTAGAGCTAGCGGTAAAGTGGATCGGTTTTTGTTGTCCAAATTTCCACAGGTTCAGTCAGAAACTAATGAATCTTTGGAAGTGATCTCAGACCCACAAAAACCTACGGATCTGGATGAAGAGAGTCAACCCTCAACCGCCGCAGCAGTCGAGGGTTTTGCCGCTGGAAATGCTAACAATAACATTAGCTAACCTTGCAACACTAAAGATGGATTTCTGTGTGGCTGTATGTGTTCATGATTTCGTGGAAAAGTCAGCGATTGTTCATATGTTTATGATGTATATCAATGATTGTTTCAGGTGTTGTTGAGGTGTTGTGCACGCATGTGTATCTGCTAGTGTTGAAGGTGTTTTAGAGAACAATAGGTACGCATGACCACTTCCTTCATAGCACCCTCAATAATAAGACTAGCTCCTTCATAGCACCTGCAGAAAAACATTTCTGAAGCCGTCACTGGCTGCGGTTGACCAAGAGGGCCACTAGTGCAGAAGTTTTGAGTAAAAAAAATAAAAAAATAAAAACAAGAAGATTGGGGAAAAAAAACAAACTCGACAACACTGATTGTTATGTCTTTGACAATTTTAGTAGTTAACATAGTCTCAGGAGCACTTCTTCACTTTAATGACACTTAGAAGATGTTTGCTCAGCGATCTTGAAAAAATACAGCAAAAAACCTCAGATTTTGCTACATAAACAGTAAAAAAAAAAAAAAATACACCTAATTTGTGAAACCTGTCCAGCCTCAGACTCCACAATAGTTTATAAATGAACAGAAAGGTTTTGAACACAGATCAACCTAACAACCTGCTACAGAAGAAAATCAACGGTAGTGCGATGATGACTGGAAACAATTAAGGCAGCACAACAGCTTAGACCATCGGGCAGCGCTTTAGCTCAAGAGAATAATGGAAAACAATTAACAAGGCTCAGACCTGGTTGCTTTTCTCAGCCTGGTTGTTCCTATTAGAGTCTGGAAAATGGATGTGACACCCCGTCTCCTCCATCACCCTCTTGATGTTGTTGCCACCTTTGCCAATCACATGGGAGTGCTCGGTGTGGGAGACATCCATCTTCAACGTCACCCTGTTGCTCTAATAAGAAGCAGAGAAGCATGGCGGAGGTCTGAATCAACACACATTTAGATTTACTAATAATACATTTTCTTTTGCAACCAATCCTTTATCCGAAGGAGTCATAAGAGGCACATTTTTCTTAAAAATCCCCATTAAACACTGTCATGTTACAGGAAAACATCTTGCAAAAAAGTAAATAATTAAGTAACTCAGCTACATTTCCATGAAAAGTTTTTTTATGACACAAATACATGAAACAGTGTTTATCCTCCATGCTGAAAACAACTGGAAGCTTTCCTGTACCCAGGAGGTGCTGCAGTGCACACTTCCAAGTATATGAATCTGTGTGTTGCCATGGCAATGAAGCTGAATGCACACACCATCATCCGTGAGAGTGTCTGGGTAAACTGGAGGCACTCTGTCACTCATACTGAGGTGAAAAAAAGAAAGATTAAAACAGAAAATAAATAATGAAACTGTACCTTTGTGTCAAGGACGGACATAATTCTGTCTTTGGCTTCTCTCACATTCTCCCTCTTTCCACACACTTTGATGTGGGGATCTGCAAGATGAAACAGAACATACAGCTCTTTAGTGAGCAGGAGTAACTTTCAGCTGAATGCAGCAGAGGCTAGTTAAAACCATTTCACCAAACACAATTGCTTTTATCAGCAAATTAGAGCACATCGGAGAAAAGCTCTGTGGGAATAATTGCTGTTTTGACATCTGTAAGAGTCTCTCTAAAGCCAGCAAGCAGCCAGACACCAAAGTGCTGCAGCAGAGTTAAATTCATGCAATTTGTCATTCTTTAATGCCCCCACAAACCCAACTGTGCCTCTATCGTGTGCAGCATTAACACAAACATTATGTTTTTGTACACTTCATTTTTTTCTGTTTCTTTCTCCACGCATTACTGCAAAATATCAAGAATCAATGTGTATTTTGTCAGACGCCCCCGGCCCCGCAGAGCTCCATGCAATAGGAAACTGAGCGCCGACCAGAACTAACCAATAGCGTTAGACTACCGCTTACTTGCTTCAAATTTAAGGAATGCCTCAGCTGATGCAGAGTTGATGAACTTTTCACGGACAAGTAAGCCTCTAAAATATAAATATATGAGAACACAACATGACATGAGAATAATACTCGTAAAATTGCGTGTTTTAGCTCTGTTTGTCAGCTACAGAAGCACATTTATAAACAGAAATGTGCCATCTTAAACAAACAGAGCAACAGATGTTTTGTGTGATATGCTTGTCAGCCACTAGATGGTGCCATCGGATAAGAGAAATACTCAGGAAAGCAGCTTTAATCTATTTCTATTTTGAGATCATTATGATTTTATGACTTTGTTTTATTTTGTTTTGATCTATGTGAAGCACTTTGTGATTCTATGTCTGTGATAAGTGCTATATAAATAAAATGTACTTACTATATACACATGCCACACACATTTGCACTTCAGAGATGATTACTATCACTGTCACATGACTAAATTATACATCATCACCCCCTCACCCTCTGAACCCATTACACAAACTGAAACAAGATGGAAAAATTATCAGTTGTTGATATTGGTCCAGTTTTATCGGACCGATAGATGTTAAAAAATTACTTACATCGGTCCAAGCTTTATAATTTTAAATGTGTTTGGGAGTTATGTTCAAGAGTTTTAGCTTGATATTTGAGTTGACTGCGTTTTAGGAAGCATCAGCTGACATTAATGGAAATTTAGCTGCTAGAAAAAGCAGGATCAGCTTTGAATACTTGAGCTAAATTACAAATAATAGACCCAAATAAAAGGCTGTGTGTCAAATGGAAAAAAAGGTATAACACTGAGTGCGTTTACATGCAGCCAGTAACCCTTTTAAAACCCGAATATTCCCCGGTTCCGCACGGTCATGTAAACACCGCCAAAACCCCAGATATGCTCATAACTGGGTTTTTAAAAACCCGGTTACTACACCTGGGGTAACCCTTTTCTAACCCGAATGTTTGGTCGTGTAAACGCATATCGGGATATCCCCATCAAAGCGTGTGTTCTGCGCATGCTCTGTTCGCAAGGAATCTTGGTCTTTTGAGTAGCGAGACGTCTTGTATGCGCCAGAACACCGGAAGTAAACAACAAGTTGGGAGCAACATGGCGAGTCGCGGGACAGAACCACACTTTTGGAGTGACGAGGAAACCTCTGTCTTCATCGGTTTGGCGAAAAGTATGAACATTATGTCTTTTGTTGACGGGCGAAAGTACAGAGACAGCGAAATATACAAGAAGGTGACCGCATATAGCGTCTTGACGTAGTCCATACGTCCTGACGCTACCCCAACGTCCGCATTTAAATCGGGTTATGCAAGTTAGGAGTAACTCTTTCTATTTATGCTTGTAAACGGGTTATTCTGATCAACTCAGAAACCCGAATACCGACCTTAACCCGATCATAACCCGGACATTGGCTGCATGTAAACGTAGTCATTGTGGAGCAGAATAAACAATGTGTTCAGAGCATGTTTGTTGGGTAATCTAACATCTGGCCTTTCTGCATGCTGAATCCCCGATGAGTAAAAATAAATAAATAAATAAATAAATAAATCATGAAAAACAAAGGGACAAAACTCCACTCATGCAGCCTGTTGCCCATGTGTTAACTGTACTGAACAGCAGGAAGCCCACTAAACCCTCTTATTTTCACCCCCCCAGCCAGCCATTCCCCCACACACACCCACACAGTCTCAGATTTACAGAACAGGCATCAGGCAGAACTCACTAAATCAACTTTATTGTAAATTCCCTGGCAACTCAGAACGCTACAGCAATGCAACAATGACCTCAGAAAGCTACAGACATAAGGGCAGGTTAGAAATCAGACCAGTTGATCAGAGATATTTTACTGTCACACAAACACTCACACTAGTTAGACTGCTGACATGTTTCAGACATGCTACGCCTCATTATGAAGCAACAAAACTCTTTAGGGAGTTGTGAAAGACAAAGAAAAAGGAGCACAGCTAGTCTTGTCACGGGCTCAGTTCTGGTTCCAGGACATATTCCCGTCATTCTGTTATTGCAGAACAACACCAAGCTCCCAACTTCCTCCTGTGATACCATCTGTAACCATTAGAGGGAGTAACACTCCTTTAAGTGTCCTCCATCTAACCTGCATAGAACATCTGGCAAACATTAGCCAGCCTAAAGGAGCGCTGCAGTTGTGATGTAGAACACCCCCGCATTTTTCAAGCAAAATGTGTTCCTGTGACTTTTTCCAACCCCCACTTTTTTTTCTTGATGATTGATTGTGGAATAAAAAATTGAACACCTTGAGTCCTAATTTGGCACGCAGGGCACCTATGAAAACAAACAACAACAATGGTCAACTTGCAGCTGCAAAAAAGCGACTTCTTGGATTTTACACAGAAGAAACCTCTTGACCCAGAGCTCGAAACCTGGCAAAGCAGACGGATTTTTCCACTTACATTTGAAAATACCACGCAAATGAAGAGAATTAACTCAGTTTGGCTTGGCTTTTTTCATTCAAAACATCTGCAGAAAAGCTGAAAACTCAAAACTCCCAAGTTGGCAAGTAGTAGAACTATTAAGAAGATTTTCAAATACAGCTAAGCATTAAACCTGCAGAATGAAACCTGCTGAAAATCGACAGATGATCCCACTGAGCTGACCGCTTTGCCACACGCTTTAATTTGCAGCACAGGCTCGTTTCTAGTGAGACCGATGAGCTCTGGCTCTAGTAAATCACTGAAAGTGTGCTCCCTTCTGACGGCTCGCCCCAAAGGCTAACAACTGGACTTATCGTGCTTATGCAGGTGGGAGATATAGCTAGCTGCAGGTGATAAATGACATAAGAGTAGCAGGCATTTTGATGAACTGCGGCCCCTGTGTTCAGAGGTGTTGCTCTGATCCTGCACAGTGCAATCAATTCCAGACAGCACACTGATGAAGATTTCAGGAAAAAAACATCCACAAAAATTACTTTACATTAAATAAGAAATAGTAAAATAACCTGTCAAACTGCACAAACAAACCAACTGTCATTGTTTAAGAGCAGAGTGACTCACTTTAGTATAGCATCTTATCTGTTGTTACCTGACTTAAGGAAATTGTTGCAATATTAATAACTTAATATTTTATTTGCTGCAAGTGATCAGAAAAATAATTTACTGCTGGTAAAATTATTTTGTCACATTTACTTTGCAAGTATGCTCTTATTTCCTCTCACCTTCCAAACAACATTCCCATTAACCGGCTTTGAAAGCTAAACTCACAAGTGTCTTAGTAGCAAACAAGCAAATAAAATGACAGAACAAATGCAGAATACACCTGCCTCCAGCAATATATAATGTACTATTTTCAAGCATGTCTATTCCTAATGAAACCCTTTTATTGTTTGTACATTTATACCCAATTAGGGACAGAGCTTCCATAGAAGCTCTTCTCTGCTTTTACAGCAGCGCTGTTTCTCAACATTTTCTAAATGTAAATAACATAAAAGTGAAATGAGGTGGTATCTACATGCGTTTTAACCCAGTGGTGGTCTGAAATGATTCCACTGCGATGAAAGCAGTGCTACATTTTTATCGACTACCTCCCATTGACACAAATTAAAACTACAGCCTCTTTAAATTGTGAATTCTGAATAATTTAAGCTGCAAAAAGTAAAAAAAATCTGAAAAAACGTGTTGTTGAGACAAAGCCTTTACCCAGGGCCCGAAATTAACACTCGCCAAATGCGAACAAATTGCTCCATTTGGCGAGTAAATTTTTGAGCTCTACCTGCCACCTGGCGAGTAAATGTTTGCACCAAATTAGTTATGTTTATCAGTCATCTTCCATGGATTTCTGATACTCCTCCCGCCTGCATGCAACGTACACAAACGTACGCGAAACGTGAACGCCACATCCAACGTCATTTCCACCTATCCCATTCAATCAGTTTATCAAGTTAGCAGTTAGCTTCGTGTTAAAACTAGTGGTGAAATGTGGCGGTTTTTAACTGGAGTCAGCCAGCCTTCCAAAAGAAAACTCGTCGAACTCGAAGAAAAAACCACCAGGACCAGTGGCAACCAGAAGATTTTGTGAAAAAAGGCAAACTGGAGATGGCGGAGTCGTGAGACAATGGCTACATTATGATGCCTTTCACAGACAACTGTCCCTCGGCATTCTTCAAATATCCAAAAAATGCCCATACTTCCGACTTTGTCTTCTTTGAGGGATAATAAATGTCCCGAGTGCTGCCGTCTCCTCCTGCCATTATTTCAGCTTTAGCTTAAAGAAAAGTTTTGGTCGTAAACAACAAAGTGCGCATGTGCCGCCGGCAACTTCAGCAGATGATACGGTGGCTGGTAAGGGTCACCGCGCCTACACCACAGCCACGGTACTCCACAGAGATAATTTAAAAAAAAAAAAACAAGACGGTTATTATTATTGTCAACTTTTTTACCGGGGTTTACTGCTACACCGGTTACCGTGACAACCCTAGCCCTGACACACTTTCAGATATTCTCATGGTGCAGCTGTGTTCTCCAGAGATCAAGGACTAGGACCCAAAT